GGGGAAAAAAAAAAAAAAAAAAAGAAGAAACGTAATAAGAATATATCTTTTCATTTATAATTGAAATTTTCATAATAACGAATCGACAAGTAAAAATTTCCAATCCTATAAATTATTGAAATTGAAATGATATGATTATAAAAAAATTGAGGAACAAAATTTCACAGAAAATTAATACAAATATATGATATTTACAGAATATCGATATATTCGTGAAAAGATATAACCTTCGAAAGATTCTACTAGGCACCTAAAGATGTCGTTCGAAGTTTATTTATTATCTTAAAACACTGACATCTACATTTACGTTTCTTTTCTTAATTTAAATTATTCTAGATAAAAATAAAACTTTCTAATGATAAGAATATAAAATATTCGAAGCAGTGGCAATACTTTATTTTATTTCGACGATCAAAATCACGACTGGCAAAATATTACTTGTACCTTTCATATATGTATCTAAAGAGAGGTTATGTTGTAAGCAAGTAGAGATAGCTCTATCTCCGTCTACGCTCTATGTTCGTTTCGCTTCATCCATCCAACGCAAACTTCAATTAGTCATAACCTAACAAGCTTAAACCAAGATTTTTCTCATCGTCAATTTTTGTACTCGTCTCTAGTATCTCTCGAATCGATCTTCTAAACTATTCCACGAATATATTAACATCCTACAGGTATGTATATATACATGTGAATATTTAATATATCATATATTAAAAGTATAATAGAAACAAACTGTTATCTGGTCGGATGTAAAATTTACATATTTGATTCCAACAAGATCAACAGTCTACGACGTGGTATTCTTGTTTAATTAAAGATTGTCACCCGCCTTATCGTTGATAGGACGCTATACGCCGTATTCAAATGATCTGCAAACGCAAACGCTTATCATCTCAGTGCATATTGTACAGTTGTCATATTTGCAGACCTCTGACTGAAATCTTTTAAACCTATTCATTGACTTATATAAATAAATATTAATAATAATGATGAACATTTTGAACACAAAGAGTACATTCTTTCAAAAATTTTTGACGATGATGTTTTCGAGATATTTGATTTTTACTTAACTAAAAATTATTTTTATTTTTATTATCGTTTCTTCAATCGATTTTCATAACAGTTTTATCAACTTATTTGGCTGAGGATTATCTTGGATTCATATTGTGTAATCTATGAATCCTTGGATATTACATTGACACTAATATGTTATTGATAACTAATCTACATCTTAACAAAAAGTAAAGAAATAAAAAATTAAAAAAATATTTTCATGCGAGGACATACATTTTCTAGATTATTTCTACATTTTAAATATATGTATATATATATACATAACATACTAAAAGTAGTGTGTAGAGTAAAAATTGAATTACAACAATTGATTTCTTTTTTATAATTGTGGAAATGTAAATTGTCATTTTTTGTGCGAAATTACAAATCAATTTCTATCATCTTAATTTAATCTCTAAAAGCAACATATCTTATCAATTCTTCTATTTATTTCTATCTAGAGAAACTAGTATAAAATTTCATCCATTGTATTATACATGCACAAGAATAGAGTCAATATTTATTGATACGAGAAATTATATCAAATACATGATTATACATGTCATAGGAAATAAAATTCAAAAGAATCTAAAGAAAACTGCAAATTTTGGACGATACTTTTATAAAATCATTTATCTTAATTTCTAACCTAATATAATTTAACCGAACCTAACCTCTTTAAACGAAAGAAAGAGATCTATCGAGAAAACCATACAAGTAATCGCTATTATTTGCAAGAAAAACAATCACCATAAAAATTTATCTTCATCCTCTTTTATCGCTTATTGTAAATTGTACTTGTTAGGAAAGATAACACTTGTTGATACATTTAATGATCATTCAATAAATATTAATTCAAATATTTGTATTAATATTTATTCATTTGTTCATACAACTTCTCTAGCTTCCTTAAAGAGAAAAATGAAACGAATGTGATTAAATCTTTAATTATCATTCTCTAGATTGTAATTCAAAAGTTGAATTTTAATTATCCTTATATTAGAACATATCATTAGCATAAGTAATATAATGTAAATTTGTAATAAATTTTATTAAATAAAACTAATAAAACTATTTCTAATTTCAATTATTTTTCTCCAAGATAAATATCAGATAAATAAATAAATAAATCTAATAAATTTAATTTGATAAATAAATAAAATGATAAATTTACTTTTGTAAATGATCAATTCATTGAATCATTTCAATTCAATTTTTCATTGAAATTTTGTCTTAATTTTAATTATTTTTCAAGAAAATACAATTCCAGGAAAAACAATGATTATTTTTCCTCCGTCAAAGATGAAATATCGAAAGAATCATTCAGGATATTTTAGAAAATTATCGCGGAAAAACTCGTTGGTGAAATAAGCATGTCGATCGTGAGTTCGTTTATTGTACTTGTTAGGTGTATTTTTTTGTAAGGCTATCTACGATATCATTATTCCTGGCACGGATCGAACGAGTCTGTCTCACATGTACATGTATGCAGTATCTGAAAAATAGGGAAAAAGGAAAAACAAGACGTTTCGTGATTAATAATTCATGGAAATCAATGATTTCTCGCATTTTATCGATTATCTTTAAATTTTTAAGAGCTTTTTAATCCAAGGAGATTTTATAATTAATATAAATATTATAAATATTACTGGATATTTGAAAT